GTAAATGTGTTATGTGGATAGTTGTATTGGATAGTTAGATGTAACTATATTATACTCGTCTTTTTAAATAATCGGTAAGCTGCTAACCTTTATGTATAATTGTTACTTGAATACTATGTTGTAAATTCTTTCCAAACTTGTAGAATCTATGAGGGATAGCTTCCCACTTAAAGGAACATATTTCGAAGTTAACGAGTTCCAATTTCAATTGTAGTAATATATCTAATTATTTCATTTATTTATTTTTATTGAAAATTTTATGTTATTTATTGATATAGGTGTTTGTGGATCATGATTTTAGCCTCATCCCAATCGATATACCCAGATATTTGTTATGACCATTACATAGTAAAACAGTATATTTTAGAACTTCTATATAATATTCAAAAGTATACGATCTTACCAAGATTAGATATAATGGTCTTGCGTACTTAAAAATTTGATATTCTATTTATTGACCTATTTTGCAGGTTTAGCAGGAGAAAAAATTCAGCAATGATTCTGAAGAGGCAATGCCATTACATTTTGGGTTAAGCTATAACAAGTTTTTGCCTTTTTTTTATTTATTTAGGGCTTTGCTTGTACGCAAGGAAGGATCGATTCTTCTCTGCAAGAAAAAGTTTCCAATTTATACGTGATGTATTTGTAAAAAGAAATATGGAAGAAACGCAAGTGATTTTCAGTTTGACCCTAAAATTGATTTGAACTTAAATTCACCTAATATGAAAACGTAAATTTGCAAAAGACTTTGCGGGTGTTAACTAATTATTTAATATCAGATTTTAATTATTCAATAAGAAGTTTCCAATGTATATGTGATGTCTTTGTAAAAATAAATAAGGAATGAATGAAAGTGATTTTCAGTTTGACCCCAAAATTGATTTGAACTTAAATCAACCTAATCTGAAAACGTAAATTACAAAAGACTTTCGAGTTGTTAACTAATTATTCAATCTAATTATTCAATAAGAAAACATAATCGCAGAAGACTTCCCGGGTGGTGAACCAGAACAGTTCAATTATAATTGATACTATGAAACTATTTTCGTAATTTTGAATTTTACTTTTTGCTTTCTACAAGAATTCTCATTTAAAGAAGGAAATCTAGTCCAGAAAATGTTTTTTCTCGTCTTCTCTTAAAATCTTCTAAACCCTAAACTCTCACGGCTTCAGCTCCATAAGTCTCACTAAACCGCTTTTTTTCTTGCAGATTCCCAGAAGATGATTCAAATTTTTTAGCATAGCCATCATGTTTAGCGGAAGAAGCCAAAATATTTTTTTGCTAATTTGACTGATTTTACAGAAGATTCCACCTTTTTTGTCCTTTATTGCAGATTTTGCAATAGAAGCATCATCCTTTTAAAGGTCGACGACAGATTTGATAGAAAACAGTTTCAACGTTTTTGGTTTCTGTGACAGATGGATTCTTGACCAGCGTTTTATCAGCGTGAAACTGTTTCATCAGAAACAGTTTTGGAATCAAAGACTTTAGACTTTAAGTCTCTTTTTAATTTTTTGCTTTCCAGAGCAAATATCATCGACTTCTTTTACGCTTCAAGATGCATTCACGGGATCTTCTGAGGATTTGGAATTTTTGGCTGATATCTTAAACTTTTTAAAAGATTTCTGTGGTTTTTTTTGTTGGAACTTTGATTTTGAAATTATTTTAAGAGACTTAAAAGGATATGATTATGAGTTCTGCTGTTTCTATCGAACATAATCTCTTCCCAGTTTTCTTACATTTTTTACATCTCCAATTTACTTTTATTTAATTTTAAAAATAATATATATATATATATATTTTATAAAAAAAATCATTGACCATTGATTTCAGATCTGACTTTTTCTCAACCAGTCTTCTCAACGAGAGTTGAGTTTAGAAAGAAGGAATTTTTTTTTTAATACTTGTTAATTTTACATAACTTGTTTTTTTAACAAAACATCTTAAAGCCACATCATCGCTTGCTAACGTCATGTACTTAAAATCTAATTTTAAATTATTTTTAAAAGATGCTCTCCAAAATTCTCTTTTCTGTAATGTCTTAAACCATTTCTAATGGGTTTTCAAAATTTACCTTTTCTTTCATTTTGAAGATAAAGATGAAGAAATCTTCTCCAATGGTACTTCAATTTCACCTTATGAAGAAACATTGTTCATTTCTTCATTTTTTGAAAATGACTTTTTTATTTACAAAATATATCTTTAACTTTTTATATGTTTGATTTATACCCAAACACAACTTATATGTTTTTTTTAACCCAAATAATTTTAAAACAATAAACTTAATTAATCAAGTTATAAAGTAAAACTGCAATAAACACAATAAAAAAATAACATATATTAATTAAAACATACAATAGCATAGCCAACAAAAAAAATTGAAAATACATAATTAATACTAAATTATAAATAATTAAACTTAACATAACATAAACTAACAACTTAATAATCTGGAAAACCACTTCCAGATCCATTAAAATTATTAAAATATTGTCCAAATGATGTTGATGCAGAAGGAGGAGCTTGTTGATTTTGTTGTTGTTCAACCCTTTTATGTAAAATCCGTGCTTGTTCAGCTTGAACATATGAATGGATATTCAAATCCTGTCTGGAATTTAAGTCTTGCAACAAAATTTGTTTTCAAAGCATAATTCTTACTTTGAATATCTAAATGGTGTTGCCTTTGGGAACTTGTCTTCTTTAGTTGCTCCACAAGTTGTCTATTTCCTTCTTCTAAGGTGTTGATAACAAGTGATGTTTGATTATCACTTTTTATTTTCAGCTTAGCTTTTTTCACCTAAATCGGTCATTTAGATGCAGATCCACCAATAATATCTTCTTCATCATCTAAATTCAAAGAAAATGAAGGCAAACCTGAAGATGTTTGTGTACCAAAGTCAGGGGTAGGGTTTTCCGACTCTGACGACGCGTATCCAAAACCAGATAGGTTTGGTACATTTCTAGCTGGGATTTCACCATCTTTAAACTTCTCAAATTTTTTAATAATACTCCACACGTGATCAAATTTCCAGCTTCTTTTGTATTTTGGATCTTCTTTTAGCATTATCATGGCTTGATTGAACTACAAATGATAATATATATAAATATATATTAAATCTAATGTAAATTAAGTTAAAAATGATATATTAATTATCATAAAAAATAATCACAATGTCATCATTTGAAGCACCATTTGGACGTCTATTTTTACATTGTTTGATGCATGCATCCAATTTCTTTGTTGGTTTCTCAATAGCTTGAATTCGACATTGGATGAAATTTCTTGAACGTTCACTCCACGATGCATTTTTTCCATTCTCATAGCCTTCTACCACACGAGACCAAAACTGATCAGATGACTAATAAACACCTTTGATTGGATCTTGAATAATTTGCATATTAGTTTGACATAAATATTTATCTTCTTCTTGAGTATATCCAGAGGAACATAAAGGCATTTTTGTAAATAAAATGAGGAAAGATATTAATGAATATGAAAATGGATGGTGGAATGTTGTGAATGAAAAGAAAAACCTATGATGTTTATTTATAGATGTTAATCAAAATTCTCAGATTTCTTAATTTTTTAAAATGATTTGACAATACAATTGTAAAGTGGTACAAAGAGTCTCACGTTTTTTAACTTATTATAATATGAATTGATAATACAAATGCAAAGTGAGTCAAATAATCTTTTTCTGAATTTATTATGACATGAAATGACAGTTCAATAGTAAAGTTATTCAAGATTCTCATGTTTCTCTATTGACAATCAAAGGCAAAATGAGTCAATTTTTTTTTGTTTTTCTCAATTTATTATGACATAAAATGACAAGGGGGAATTGTAAATTTAAGACACATTTTGCAAACATTTGTCCTTATAAGATTTTTTGGACTTTTGTCACTTTTAGACTTAATTATCTTTTAATTAAGGATTACATTAATTTTGAAATTCGAATTTAATGATTAAATTTTTTTAAAAAATTTAAAAATAGCAAAAAGGGAAATAAATTAATTACAGAAAATCAGTTATGGAAAGTTTTTAATTTTTTAAAATTATTTTCCACACATGTAGAAAATGTATTCTACATTCTACTGGTTTATAGAATATGTTTTCTACACCTTCTTCTACAATCTACAAAACATAATCGATGTTCTACATGTTCTTCTTCATTGTACTAGCAGTATAGATTATATATTCTACATAATTTTCAGCGTTCTACAACTTATAAAATATATATTCTACACTTTCCACTACGTTCTATATTTTACTAGAATTTAAATTTCTAGTAATCTTTCA